TCAATTTCATTCAGTTCTGCTCTGAGTTTGGTTATTTCTTTTCTTCTGCTACTTTCGGTATTGGTTTGCTCTTATTTTCCGGGTTCCTGTAGGTGCAATGTTAGGTTGTTAATGTGAGACCTTTCTAACTTCTTGGTGTAGGTATTTAGTATTATAAACTTTCTTAGTACTGCTTTAGCTGTGTCTCAAAGATTCTGGTATGTTGTGTCTTTGTATCTCTGTTTTCATTTGTTTCAAAGACTTTTTTTTAAAACTTCTGCCTTAATTTCATTCTTTACTCTGTTTCAGGGGCAGGTCATTTAACTTCCATGTAATTGTAGGGTTTTGATAGGGCTTTTTGGCATTAATTTATATTTGTATTGTGCTGTGGCCCAACGGTGTGGGTGGTATGATTTTGGTTTTCTTATATTTATCGAGAATTGCTTTATGGCTGAGTAAAGCCTGTGGTCAATCATACAATATGTGCCATCTGCAGATGAGAAGAATGTATATTCTGTTGTTGGATAGATGTCTGTTAGGTACATTTAGTCAAGTGTCGAGTTTAAGTCCTGAGTGTCTTGCCTTGATGATCTGACACTATCAGCATGGTGTTGAAGCCTTTCACTAATATTATATGGTTATGTAAGTATCTTTGTAGGTCAGTAAGAACTTGTTTTATGGATTTAGGTGCTCTAAAGTTGGGTGCATATGTATTTAGAATAGTTAAATCATCTTGTTGAACTGAACCTTTTATCATTGTATATGATACTTTGTCCTTTTGATCGTTGGTTTAAAGTCTCTTTTGTCTGAAATAAGAATAGCAACTTCCGCTTTTGTTGTTGTTGTTGTTCTCTGTTTGCTTGATATATATTTCTCCATCCCTTTACTTTGAGACTATGGGTGTTGTTGCATATGAGATGAGTCTCTTGAAGTTTGAAGGCAGCAGAGTCTTCTTGCTTCTCTATCCAACTTGCCAGTCTGTGCCTTTTAAGTTGCTCATTTAGCCCATTTGTATTTCAGATCAAAATTCATATGTGAAGATTTGATCCTGTAATTGTGCTCTTAGATGGTTATTATGTAAACTTGATTATGTAATTGATTTATAGTGCCAATGTTCTGTGTATTTTGGTATGTTTTTGTGGTAGCTGGTACGTCTTTTGTTTCCATGTTTAGCACTCCCTTAAGGACCTCTAGGAAGGCAAGTCTGATGAGAATGAATTCCTTTAGTATTTCCTTTTCTGAAAAGGATTTTATCTGTTCATCACTTATGAGGTGGTTTGACTGGATATGACATTCTTGGTTGGAATTTTCTTTCTTTAAGAATACAGAATATAGGCCCTCAATCTCTTCTGACTTATAAGATTTCTGCTGAATAGTCCACTACTAGCCTGATGAGGTTCCCTTTGTACATGACTTGCCCCTTTCACTAGCTGTCTTTAAGAATTCTTATTTCACGTTGACCTTGGAGATCCTCTTTCATTCTATATTTCGGGAATTGTTGTCTTATGTAATTTGTGTGTTGACTTCTCTAGCAAGGTTGAGAAAATTTTTATTGACAGTATCCTCAGATTTGTTTTCCAAATTAATTGCCTCTCTCTATCTCTTTTAGAAATTCCAGTGAGTCACAGGTTTGGTGTCTATATAATCCCATATTTCTTAGAGGTTTTGTTTATTATTTTAAATTCCTTTTAAAAATTTTTGTCTGCCTGCTTTGATTCAAAAGAACAGTCTTCCATCTCTGATATTCTTTTCTCAGCTTGGTCTATTCTATTATTAATGTTTCCCATTGTATTATGAAATTCCTTTAGTGATTTTTTTATTTCCAGAAGTTGTTTTGTTCTTTCTCAATGTGTCTATGTTTTCTTTCTGCTCTTCATCAGTTTTACTATTTTCCTTGGATTGGGTTTCAACCTTTTTCTATGTTTCATTGAATTTCCTTGACATCTAGATTCTGAATTCTATGTCTATCATTTCAACAATTTCAATCTGGTTAAGAACCATTGCTGGCAAGCTAGTTAGGTCATTTGCAGGCAAGAAGACACTGGCTTTTAGAGTTGCCAGAATTCTTGAGCTGTTTCTTTCTCATCTGTGACGGCTAATGTTTCTTTAATCTTTGAAATTCCTTTTTTTTGGACGGTGCTTTTTGCTTTTATATTCTTTGTTGTCCTTGAGGTTTTGACTCTAGTGTAAATTTGGGTTTATTAGATTGTTTTCCTTTTTGGATGGTTTTAGGGGACCAAGGCTTAATTCAGCACTCCAGGGCCATGTGCTCTGTCTCTAGGGAGCTAGAACAAGACCCTCTACTTTGCTTTCTGGCCCCTTGAGGTCAAGCACCTGCTCTGCTGGAGGTGCTGTTGTGTTCCCAGACTACTGGCAACAACATTCCAATCAGGAATGCTGGCAAAAGTGCTTCAGTGGGGCATTGGAGATGACATGAGAGAGTGTAATCCAACAGGGAAGCAGGGGGCCAGAGGCACATATGTAGTGATGGGGCAGCCACATGCATCTACTTGCTCATAGGGTAGCAGAAGTAGGCTGCAGATTACTGGGCACTGGTGGGAGAAGGCTGAAAGTGAATCTGCTCCAGTAAGGATCTATATGCAAAAGCAAAACCTGGGCTAAAAACTGGAAGTTAGGGGCTGCTGGTTGAAGAACTATGACAGCAGCTGCTGGCAAGAGCTTCAGTAGGGCAACTGAGGCTATGCACTAAGTGAGTGTGGCTATGCAGGGGCCCTAGTAGAAGCCAGCACAGAGAGGAGCAGTCAGATCAGACTGGCCCCGGCCCATGTGCAAGACAGACCTGCTTTCTCCAGACCTGGGAGCTAACAAAAGCTAAAGCCACCTAAAGAAATATGGAAAGCCTTGGGGGATGGGCACCTATGGCCGTGTTCCACTGCAGCTATTCCTGTGCCAAACCCTCTGGATTCCACATAGAGTAGAGTACTGTCTCTGCCAATTCTCTGGGAAGTTCTCCCTGCCAACTAAAACGTCTCTGGGAGTCATGGAGTCTCCTGCAGCTAGGATCCTGGAGGTCCATGGTAAGAGGGGGCTGTTCATGCCTGTTTCACTCACTCCTTCTCTAGGAACTGTGCAGGGCCAAGAATGAGTCATGGTGCTCAACAACCCTACTCAGAATTCCTAGCTTCCTCCCCCTGTAGCTCTAGCATCTGCATTCTCCCTCTATTCACTCTGAATGCCTTTTATCCAAAGATCTTCTTGGAGTGTGCCAGTATGCTTGATATTCTTATCTTTTTTAGTGGGAGAAGCTCTTCCAGATTTCATCTAGTGAATCATCTTGGCTCTATTCCATAACTACTTTAAATGTATGTAATATACACATATTAATCTAAAGGCAAAAATTGGCAGAGTGTATAAAAACTGAACTTAGCTGTATGCTGTTCAAAAGACACACTTCAAACAAAATGACAATGATACATTGAGAGTAAAAGAGTAGCAAAAAATATGTAATGCAAACAATCAGTAGAAACTAGGAGTGGTTATATCAATATACTTCAGTGGAAAAAAAATTACAAAGGGCATTACATAATGATAAAAGGACTAATCTGTTAAGAAGATAAAGCAATTCTGAATTCCAAATAGCAAACAGCAGAACTTCAAAATACATGAAATGAAAACCAGTAAAGCTGAAGTAGGAATAGACAAATCAATAGTTATAGTTGAGCATGTTTACAAACCACTCTCAGGCAATTGCCAGAATTGCTAGACAGAAAACAAGAAAGGATATAAAAGAACTGAACAACATTATTGGTCAAGAGGATGTAATAAAAATACAGAGAGTACATCCACCTACAAAGAAGAATACACAGCCTGCTCAAGTGCTCATGAAACATTAACAAGATAGAACAAGATGAACCATAAGGAATGTAAAAGAATTGCAATTATGTAGAGTATGATCTTTGACTAAAATGGAATAAAACTAGAAATCAGTAACAAAAAGAAAACATAAAAATCCTCAAACACTTAGAAATTAAATCATACACTTCAAAATCTTGCAGTAAATGAGGAAATTTCAAATAAAATAAAAATATACATAGCATTGAGTGCAATTGAAAGCATGCCATATCAAAATGTGTGGGATGCAGCTAAAGCTTTACTGAGGAAAAACATTTACAACACTAAATGCTTATTTTAGAAAGTAGGAAAGAAACAAATCAATAATATCAGTTCCTGCTTAAAGAGATTAGAAAAAGGAGAGTAAAATAAACCCAAAGCGAGTAGATGGAGAAAAATAATAGAGAAAAAAAGCAGTAATCTATGACACTAAAAACAGATAACAGAAATAATTGATAAAACAAAAAAACTAGCTTTAAAAAAACAATAAAATTAATATACTTATGACAAGACTGACAAAGATAAGAGAGAGAAGACACAAATAACTGAGATCAGGAACAAAACGGTATCAGAAAAAATCCTGCAGCCATTAAAATAATAATGAGTATAATATGAACAACTTTTCATTCATAAAGTCAACAACTTAAGAAAGTTTCTCACACATCACAAATGATCAAAAGTCAGATAAGAAAAATCACATAATCTACATAGCACTGTAACTATTAAAGCAATAGAATTTGAAATATAAAATTTCCCCCAAAGCAGATAAGCAGGAACAAATGTTTCACCAAGGACTTATACCAAATCTTCAAATAAGAGCTCACATCCTTAAGTTCAGTTTTTACAGAAGGCCTGACGATCTATGGAGAGTTGGGAAATAAAAGTAGCAATATTGTGCTGAGATTTTTGATTCTGTTGCTGCTCAAGTTCGGAAAACTTGAGTATATAAACTCAGACTAAAACTTAATTTTTAATGGAAATATTTCAATGTAGCTCAGTTTTCATGGTCACAAGTAAATGACTTCTGAAGATTTACATACAATGTGAGTGGGTATAGATTGTTGCAAGTATTTGGTTAAACAAACAAAAAATTTTTTTTTTAATAAACTATGTGAGTGGGTAAAGGGATAGGGTCACACTAAAAAACTGACTTGGAGTCTGGAGTATACCTTGCAATTGTTCTCCCAGAAAGACTTAGGAAGAAGATCAGTTGGTAGATGTGTTTTCACAATCCGGGGTGATGGATTCTTCTCTAATTGTTCTATACCTAGAAATTTAGTTAAGTATACAGAAATATTAGAGTCTCCAGAAAGGCTACATTTCCTTATTTTGCCAACCAGTTTTTCAAGACATTTTTGAGCATTATGTAATGCAGCTAAATTCTGAACCAATCACAGGCATTTCACCACATTACTAGAGTCTGTATTGTGTAACATTCAAGGGTACACATTCTGAGGTTAGTCACTATGAATTCAAATGCAGACTCTGTCACTTAAGCATTGTGAGACACTTTGAAAGTATCTCAGAATCTCTGTACTTCAGTTTCCCCATCTCCAAAACGAGAGATAATAATACCCTCTTAAATAGTTTGGAGTTTTATTGTACCTGTGCAATAAATGACTTTTTAAATGTTTTGTACCTTTGCAATAAATGACTTCTTAAATGTTTTCTTCATGCCAAAGAGATAATCAATAACTAGTAAGTCTAAAACTGGCTATTGTGTTGTATCAGATACTGTAGCATAGATGACATTAACTTTGCGTGTAATATCAGCTGTTGTATCTATATTTTCATTATATTCTATATGTGTCATATGTCTCTCCATATATGTATGGACAGGAAAAATGTGTAATCTTTAGTTATTAGCTTAGCTCTTTAAAGTCATACAACAAATATATGGTAGAACTTGGTTTCAAATTAAGGTCTTAAGATAGATGATACATAAACTTCTTATGCATTCTTTTTTGTTCCACAGTATTACTTATACGCAGTCTAACTCTGAAATACCTGATAATCTTAAATCATCTTGCCATCGCTGAATACAAAGGCAAACCCACGTAAAATTGCATCTGACTCACTAATTGAAAGCAATAGTTTGTTTGAAATGTTCACAATAATTCACTGCATATGCTAAGAAGTCATTCAGCCTATTACAACATTTTTCTTTTAATGTTCTATAAAACACATTTTGACTTAGTAAATTTTTAAATTATTTGTTTGTTTACTGTATGTCCTCATGTCCCTTCCCCAACCTCACTCCTAAACATAGACTAAAATGGAGATTTCATAAGAACAGAGATGTAACTTGTTTTGTTCATAAATAAATGTCCATAGAGAATAGTGACTAGCACATGGTCAGTATGAAGAAGACTATTTAACGTCAGTAGAGGCAGGTTTGGCAGACAGGAAATTTAAAAATGTGAAAATCCAAGTTAAATTTGAATTATCAGATAAATAGCAGGTTGTTTTTAGCATGAATATTTCCCATACAACATTTGAAAAGTACTTGTATACTTAATAAAATGGATATTTATCTGAATTTCAAATTAATTAATTGTCCTGTATTTTATTTGCAAATATAAATGACTGTAAACATAAATCACCGTACAACTCCACCAGGGATTTTACTATGCCTCTACTGATCTAGCAACTATAGTCACTTTACCCAGCATATAAAAATGAGAAATTGTAATCTTCCACAACTCAATATTACTTAATGGCCATGACATGAACTTATGTCTGTTTCTTTTAAGAAGTTTTTCTCACATCTGTTGTTCACTGTTCCGCATTCAGCTTCCCTGAAAGATTTCTCAATTTCCCCTGTTTTGCGATCATTTTGCTAAGTGAGTCTTCTAAATGAACCCTTTATATCCACAAGTATGAGTGTTAGCAATGTGTAAAGACAATAAAACTATCTATGTTCACTCTCTAGAGTAGATTTATTTATTTATTTATTTATTTATTATTTGAGACAGAGTCTCGCTCTGTCCCCCAGGCTGGAGTGCAGTGGTGCAATCTCGGCTCACTGCAAGCTCTGCCTCCCAGGTTCAGGCCATTCTCCTGCCTCAGCTTCCTGAGTAGCTGGGACTACAGGTGCCCGTCACAACGCCTAGCTAATTTTTTGTATATTTTAGTAGAGACGGGGTTTCACCATGTTAGCCAGGACGGTCTCAATCTCCTGACCTCGTGATCCACCTGCTTGGGCCTCCCAAAGTGCTGGGATTACAGGCGTGAGCCACTGTGCCCGGTCTAGAGTAGATTTAAATGATGCAGTTTACCCTCATCCACCTGCTGAACTCCAGCCATTCACTGTCAGGCAAAGCTGCATAGCCTCCCTCTCTATCCCCAATCCTGCCTTCCATCTGTTATCCCTTACTCCCACGTCTCTGATTACTTTGGTTCTGTCACTTTTTCATTTCATACTTTCTATGGCTCTGAAGTCTTGCCTCACTCTTGAACTCATTTGGGTTCCTTGCTCCCAGCATAATCCCTCAGTTCCAAGCTTTCCAAGGATAGACATGTTTAAGAACATCAAGCCATAACATGGGCACGTTTAAGAACATCTCATCATAACCATTTGCTTTAAGAATCTTTGCAGTTTGCATTTTAAGTCCTTGACAAATGTAAGAGTAACAACTTTGTGAGAGTAACGGATTTGCTTTGTAATGCTAAGTAAAAAATGTTGAGTATTTATACTTGAATTTTAAGTTGAAATCTTGCTAAATTTCTAATTTTCTTTTTAAAATTTTTTTTAGAGACAGAGTCTTGCTCTGTCTCCCAGGCTGGAGTACAGTGGTGGAATCATTGCTAAGTTTCTATGTAGTTTTGAAACATTTAAAATGGCTAAGATTTGCTGTATTTATGAGCTTAATTTATTGGAGTATAAGTACTTGGGAAGGTTTGTCTTGATCAGATAAAGTAAGTACTCAAGGAAATGAAATATACTAATTATATAAATGCCACTCAAGTGTTTAAAGGAGCTTAATTAAATATAACTTGGATCAAATATTAAACTCTTTTTGTTGTATAAGTAAAATAATAATATTTATAAGCTGAACTTAATGGCTTAGGAAAGAACTGGGATTTTAGATTTGTAACTCTGAAAAATTGAATCTATTTTATAAACAACATGAAACAAAACAAAAATTGGCATTTGCTCTCTGACTTCTGGCAATGACATAGAAGGACTGACATCCTGCCAGTTGATCCATCTCTGCCTGTGGAAGTAACTAGTTCAGTCAGTCTGCTGAGGGGCACCTCCATTACAGAAGAGGATTTGGATATTTCTCTTTACATTGTCATACAGGTCTATCACCATCCTACTACTTATTTTTATCCCAGGATTCCAGCACATTAGACAGTCAAGCTTCACTTCTTGAATACCCCTCTCATTTATCTACAGGACACCATACTCTTCCATTCCCTCTTAGCTCATTTTTTTTCAGTTTCCTTTGCTAGCCGCTCTTTCTCTACCTAACTTCTGCATGTTGATGTTTTTCACAGCTCAGTCCTTCTCTTCTCATATTGCTCCACAGGCTTTCCCTGGGCAATCACATTGATTCCAATGTCCAATTATGCTGAGCATTGCCTAATGAATATATTTTAATAAGCTCCAAATACCATCATTTTAATTCACTATAATTTTAACTGATTATAATATCCAATGGCATCTCAAGGTTACCATTTCACAACTAAAATATTAATAACCCTACACCCAAATGTGTTCCTCTCCAAGTACTTTTCCTTGCAAGCAAATGGTTCCACAGTCCACTTGCTTGATGAAATAAAACTGTGTCATTCTTGATTCTTTCATTTCCTTCATATTTCCTTGACAGTCCATCAACAAGTCAAAAATATATCTTCTCTAGCATCCTCAATTCTGCCTCCACCAAGCAACTTGTGGAATCTTTGTATTTAAAACAACAACAAAAAAACAAAAACCTTATAATTTTTCTTTGCATAAAACCCTTCAATGTCTTCCTCAATGTTCTTGGAATAAAATGAGAAAATATTTTAATAATTACAAGTCCTACATGATCTATCCTAGCCTAATTTCCAATTGTTTTGCATCCCACTTTTTCCTTCTTTCATGGATCATTTTAGTCCCCGGGCTACATCAAGATCTTCCTGGAATATGCTTTCCAGGACTATATCCTGGGATATTCTTTACCCAAGTATGTACTTTTTAAATTCAATTGGGAGTAGATACCCCTTGTTAAATTTACACTAAAGCTGTCATCTTACACATTTTAAGTTTGGCTTAAAGGTTTCTCTATACATAGTGAATTGTAACCTAACTGGATGTGTAAACATATTACATTCTACCTTGTGCCAATCATCAAGTTTTGGCCAATCGAAGGTGGCCAACTCTTCAAACTGTGTTCAAATAAGTCAAACACTAAACTGTAACTAAGCCAGCTGTTTCTATATCTCAATTCTGTTTTCTGTGTGTCACATTCCTTCCTTCCGTAAACCATGTAGCTGTTCTGGAATCTCTGAGGCCATTTGGGCTCAAGAGGCTGCTTGATTTGTGATTGTCCTTTGCTCAATTAAACTTGTTTACTTTAATTTGTCTAAGTTTTTTTCCTTTATTACCCATTTAAAGTAAGCTTTCCTATCGTTCGCTTCCACAGAACCCTATTCTTTGACTGTGCAAGACTACTAACATTGACATACTGTTATTTACTTTTTAACATCACAATATTACTGTAAGCTCCCTATGATACAATATATAATTTCTAATCATTATGTATCTATACCATAGCACAGTGAATAATTCTTTACAAGCATTCCATAAATACTTGTGGAAGAAAAATTAATAGTATTAGTGAATTCTACGTTTTAAGAAAAGTTGCTCCTTGTTTATTAATTACAACAATGTCCTAAATTAGGAACTTACTGATCTAATCTGACAAATTCTACCCAACAATCAATGAGATAGAAAAAGTATTATTTATTTTATCAATCAAATTTGTAATTGTTTTGTACAGTAAGACTCTCATCTTTGATATCATACCTGGATATACAACAGACAAAAATAAAGTTTCTTCATATTCCTCAGTTTTACATTGTTTTCCAGCTTCCATTTTATGTCAACAAATCTACTCCAGTTTCAGTGAAAGTCACACATACAATAATGCATATGCTGTGTAAATAATATTACAAAATAATAATTCCAAGTGGGTTAAATTTACCTGATATTCTTAATCCAGGGAGAGTCATTTCCAACATTGGAACTTTTTCGGTAATAAAACCTCGCTTACATTTTTCAATATCTCCATCATTTAGAATCATGTCTGTAATTTCACTAACCCAAGTAGTACCTGTGACAAAAGGCAACATTTTCAAAATAATTACCCAAATTGCACAGGAGAGGGAGAAGAATCTATTGGAAACACTACCATTTTAACACGTTCTATTACAAACTTAATTCCCCTTTCTATGCCCCAAATGCCAATTTTAATATACTAAAATAGGTGACCGCACTAAATGAATATTAACTTTATTTAGAATGATAATTATTTTATGGACAAGCTGATTTCCAGGAAACAAAAATCGAGGTCGGACTTGAATTTGTCAGGACACAGAACTCACCTGATTTAGGATAAGTGGCTATCACAATGTCATCTGGTCTGCTATGGAACTGTTCAATTTTTTCCCAGTTGTTCACAAAAGCACAGGTCATGGGACAACCATGGACCAACTTCAGATCTTTTCGCAGAATATCTTTTGGGGAAAGCATTTTAATACCAGATTGTACAAATATATAATAGATTGACAGTCGTTCTGGAGAAATATAGAGAATAAAAATCAGAATCTGAGTAACTAATGTTGGTCTTAAGACACCGCAATTTGTCACAAAGTAAAATTGGCCTTTTACATTCTGGGCACATGGAGATCTAAGTACAAAGGGCGTATTTTGTGGGCATTAGGTGCAGTAGATTGCAAGAGCAGTAACTGGCTCTGTGACAAGCAGGACAAAGGTCTGTAGTGGATGTTTTGGAAAGAAATGAAACTACATCTCTTTCTTTGAGTTAAAATGCATGTTTCACAGAAATATGCCAAAAACAATCCGAACAATCTGGACTTAAGGCAAAATAAATCCACCGTTCATTATTAAGACTTCAGCTATACTTCATTTTTCCTTAAAGAAAATTTGCTGTCATTCTGACCTTTGATCTTCAGTTTGTAATTCATCTTCTTTCTTTGTCTGCTTCTAAGATTATTTTCTTTATCACTTATTTGGAGCAAGTGGATTATAATGTTGCTAGGTGTGGTTATTTTCGTGTGTGTGTGTGTGTGCACTCACGTGCACATTTTAGCTTTATAGAGCTTCTTGGAATTGTGAGTTTATGGTTTCCATCAAATTTGGATAATTTTCAGCCATTATTTCTTCAAATATTTTTTCTATCTCTCTCTCCTTCTGAGACTATAATTACATGTATATTAGGCCATATGAAGTTGCCCACAGCTGAGAGATTATCTATTTAGTTTTTTAAAAAGCTTTTCTGTGTGTTTCATTTGGGATATTCTCTCTCGCTATGTCTCTGTAATTACTAACCTTTTCTTTTGCAGTGCTTAATCTGTCCTTACTTCTTTCCAATATGTTTTATCTTGGGCTTTGTAGTTTTAGTCTCTGAATGTTCAATTTCAATATACTTATATTTTTTATTCTCAATTTTTAAAGCATACTAAATACAGTTCTAATTAATTTTTTTCTTTGTTAACAGCAACATCTGCGTAATTCTATGTTGTTTTCAGTTGATTGGTTTTTTTTTCTCATTATGGTAATCTTTTTTCTCCTTGTTTAAATGTCTGATAATTTTTTTATTGGATGCTTGGTGCTCCTGTTACTTCTGCTTGCTTAGAAACTGTCATTGATAATTTTTTGCGTCAACCTGACTGTGCCATGGGGTCCCCAGACATTTGGCCAAACACTATTCAGAGTGTTTCTGTATTGGTATTTTAGGACTAGATTAATATTTAAATTAGTAGACTGAGTGATTATCCTACCTAAGGGGGTGATCTTCATCCAATTAGTTGAAGTCTGAGTAGAGCAAAAAGCGTGATGCTCCTAGGAGTGTTCCTTCTACCTAACTGCCTTTGAGCTTTAACGAAAACATCGTTGTTTTTTGTTTGTTTGTTTATTCCTACCTGCAGATTCAAACTGAAACATTACTCTTCCTGGATCTTCAGTCTGCCAGCCTTTTGACTAGAGCTAAACCATCAGCTCTCCTGGGTCTCCAGTTTGCCAGCTCACCCTACATATCCTGGAATATGCCTGCATACCTACCTCTAAAATAATGTCATATATGTATGTGTTCAAAGGCAGTCAGACAGGAAGAATTCCTCTTTACCTCCAGGAGAGTCACCCATTTGGTTCTATTCAGCCTTCAACTGATTGCATGAGCCCCATCCACATTAGGGAAGGCAATCTGCTGTACTCAATCTACCAACTAAAATTTTAATCTCATCTAAAAACACCCTCACAGACACACACACACAGACACACATACACACACACACACAGACACACACAGACACATACATGCACATTAAGTAATGTTTGATCAAATATCTGGGTTTCCCGTGGCCCCATCAATTGGACACATAAAATTAGCATCACAAAGATCTACTCATTATTTATTTTTTCCATTTCATTTCCACTGAACTTTGTAAGTAAAACCATAGCCTTGCTTTTAATAATGGTTTTCATTTTACATCAATTTTATTTTATTTTACAATTTATAGATTCCTTCATAATCGATGTTCCATTTATTTCTTAAGACCTGTTAATTTAATAACATAGAACACATTTACTATTGTATGGATAGAAAGAATTTGAACTAATTGCAGCATAACTTGCATAATATCTTAGAGGAAATTGTATTACTTCTAGTAAAATAACTTTAAAAATTGCCAATCAAAAGTTCTTAATTGATTAAGCATAACAGTTTCTGGTAAATATTTTGTAAGTAATTTGTGAACCCACATACAAAACTCACTAACTTAACAGCTAGTTGGAGCTTAAACTAGTTTACCTAACATTAATTTGTACAGAAAGAGGTATGCTTTTGACTAGGAAGAACATGTTATGATAACAGCCTTGTATTTCAAAGCCAACTCCTCCACCATCACTACCCCCATCAACACACACACACACACACACACACAAATCTAGGAGGAAGAAATCTGGGCAAATGTTTTTTCATTTTATATTGTAAGACATGTATTACATACGATATTTTTATACACTATCATTCATGTGTTTCACACAAAAATGCTGTGTTATTTTGTTTTTCCAGTAAAAGTCATTATTCAACAATAGGTTTGTCCTGAAACATATAGCATCTTATGCTACAAATAGAGTGAAAATTAATAAAAATATCTTGAATTTTGCATTTTCATACTGTTTATTGAGTAATGGAGTTGTAGGCCTCAGAAATCTGGAATAGAAGATATTAATGGAGAAGCAGTCTCAAAATAGATTAGACACAGACAAGTTTAGAGCATTTGAGGTCCTGGGGCAAGGATGCCAATGACAGCTGAGTGAATGGAGCCTTTGGGAAAATTATATTAAATATTTATCTTCTACATGCTTCTTAGTTATCCTCCATTTCCAGTAAAATGTCAGGTAGTCTTTGTAATATTTCGTTAGTGGAGATAGTCTTGTAGAAAATATTCTCCAGCATGAAATACTGTGGAACATGTTAGCAGCTCAAGAAAGGAACAATTAATGTGGATGGTCAAGGAGTCAGCAGAAGGAGGAATTTGAAAGAAAAGAAAGTAAGTCTGTAAGTAGTGTACTTGGGATGAAGTTTGCATTGAATAAATTGAATGAAGAAATGAATGAATGATGAGATTTCCACTTCTCACCCAGAATCTTTTGATATCTCAAGAATAGTGCCCCTTCTCTGTTTGGATATAAAGGAATGAGTGCCCACAGGAGTCAACATAGTACATTCAGATATCAGACTTGATTTCCACATGATAAATGAAATAGCTCTTTCTGAAACATTTTATTTTATTAACTTCTTAACAAGTTGTTTCTTCCCAAATTATCTAAAGGTAAAAATCAATAGTACACCTCATTTCAAAAATTGTCTATTCTGAATTAATTGAGAATGTAATGTTTAGTAGCAGTATAACTTTGCTTATCAACTCTTATAACGCATACATATTATGCAAAAGTGAAAGAATATTGATGGAGCCGATACCCTTTTCATACTGTCTACTAAAATTATGTAGACAAATTTATTCCCCATGTAGCAAGTAGCTTATATTATATACTTATAGCATCATTTCTGGTTCCATTTCATGTCTTGGTTCATCCTTTGCCTTTTCTTTATTTATTCATCTTAATTTAAATTGTTCTATTCTTTTATATGCATAAAATTGATTTACAATTTCTATTCAAATTACAGTCCATGTACAAGTCCCATGTGTTATTGGCCTTATAGGAGAACTTGTTAGAAATGTAGAATCTCAGGCTTCAACCCAGAAGCAGAATCTACATTTTAGTAAGATCCTCAACTAATTTGTTTGCACTTAAAACTTGAGAAAATGACTTTAAACTACCTTTAATTATCTAATGATACAGGGTGCACGTAAATGATTTATCAAAATGAATTCAGTGTCTTTTAAAACAAATTGTGTTGAACGTGCTTCGTGTATATGATCTCTAATCATTACCTACCCTGAAAAGATCAGTCTTACTTTCATTCTGTGGATAAGATTAGGAAACAGATCTTCAGAGGCCCTGCTCAAAGAAGCACAGAAAAGGAGTGGCAACCCAGGGATAGACTTTAGTTTGTCCAGCTCTGTTCATGTGATCATACTGAAAATTTACTGTAGGCCCAACCTAGAGTCAAAAATGTCTGTGATTTAGCTCATTCAAACAAGAGTGTTTAGAAATTGGAAGAGATTTTTGCTTTGACAATGAAAATCCCCTGTGACAAAAAGGTCAGGCTCTTCATGCTGTAAAAATGTTGCTGGAGAAGAATAGAATGAGTAAGAAGATGAAAATAAGGCAACTGATTGTGAATATATGCTAGTCACCTCTGGAAAGTGGGTGTGTCCAATACAGGAAGCTACAGGGTATTAGGCATGAACTAGCATTACCTCGTTATGACCAGTGGATAAATGATGAGTTCTGAATTATATGGGGAGAAGGGTATGGAGAGGAGGACTGGAAGATATCAAATAATTGATATAATTAAAATAGATATGCTGAAAGATGATTTATGAATGACATTTGCTTTAAAATCTAAAAATTAGTTCATAAAATATTTTAAACTCTATTGGAAAGGAGCAGGCAATTTAAAGTAGTTGTAAATTAAACATGGGATCTCAAGATTTCATATTTAAGATGAGCCATAGGCTGAAAATTAAAATGTCTACAATTGACTTTAAGGAATATTAATGGAACAAAAGAGAAAAATAAAAAACAATGCCTGTTTTAGAAGAAATTGAGTCATTTAACATTAAAACTATATTTTTCTTTCAGTTAGAAAAAAACAATTTCTTCCATTTGTCATACCCTGACAAAGTTTAGTTCTATCTGATACACATCAAATCCAGCTACTTAAATAAATGTAGTAAATGACATATTTTATATTCTGGAATGCACCTTAAAGGTGTGTGTATGTGCATATGTGTATGTGCATGCATGCATGTGAGTGGGACTGGATGAAAGATGGGAGCAGAGAAATGAAAACTTGAAAAAGATTTCTTTTTCCGTAAGTGGTTTACAGTTTCATGAGAAGACCTCCATTCCTTGCATGCTTCAGTTCCATTAAATGTAGACAACTAAAATTGAACATTGAAAGCTTCAGAGATGTTAGACAGCATAAACAACAGTTTTCTATAAGAAAATTGGAATTATGCCAAAGACTTGCTAATTATAAAATATGTTCAAAACAGAAATTGTTCTAAGGCACACAATATTCTGTGGGGGTAGGACAAAACTTCAAAGAAAGAAATTGAAAAGCAAATTTTACCTCACAATTTAATCCCTTTGTTCAGTTTTCATTTTCAGCCAGTGAAGCTGTTGTAGAGTAACCATGGGAAATGGCAGTGGTTCCGGCAGGGAATGGGGAGCCCAGGAAGGCTCCTGGCGCCAGGAAAAAAACAAGTTCAAGGTTTGATCTGAACCTAGCAATCACTGAGTTTACAGGCAGCTAAGATATAAAAAGGTTAAACTACCCACACCCACAATCTCACACACACACACACACACACACACACACGAGGCAAGCTCCACTGTTTCAACAGCTAGCAAAGCCAGGAAGACAGGAAATGGATCAGGGTGGTGGCCGTAAGTCAGCACAGGCACAGGTTGTTTAGATTTTAAGCTGTCTGCAAGCTTCAAAGGGTCTGAGAAATGCAGAGGGAAAGAACATGAAGGGTTAGTGGATCAAAACTGTTGCTTCTCTATATCTTATAAGAATGTCTTCTAACAATTTTGGCCATAACAAAAATAAAAATTGGTTTTGCATGTTTGTGTGCATGTGTCAGTGTATGTTTCCATCTGAAATAAAAGTGAGTTTCTAATATCATTAAATATCAAACGTATTAAAGATGAAATGATTTATTACTTTGGCACCTGAAACACAAATACTCTAATCATTTCCACAACTCTTGGCTTTTTCTTCTTTTGGTATGCAGAATCACATAGACAAGAAATGACTGGAAATCAATCCATTTGTTAAGAACGCTCGTCTCAAACTTACACACAACTACAACCACCAAGTTCTTGCCCCTGAGTTATACCTATGAAGGCCTGGGAAAGTCAAGAAGACCAGAGGGAAACTAGCACATTCCTTTAGACCATAAGTTTAACTTTTAAATTTATTAAAGAAATGTAAAGCCTGTTTTCTTCTTAAAAGATGCTTCCAACAGATTCCTAATCTTTGCCAGCCAGGGTTGTTTTATTTTCATTTTGTAAAGAGGGTGGAAGTGTATTACAGAGAGAATACAGAGAAAAGGGGTTTATGTTCACCTATTATAGTTGTATTTTTTTGCCCTTATGGGGAAGCATTATGCCTCCAAATGAATCGGTAACAGGCACATGGAGGGCATTGTGACTGTCATATGTCAATCTATCTCTGATTGAGAACCTGAAATGTTTGACTTTTCTGAGATGCCCTAGCTTAGAAAGTTAACTTTCTAGACTAACTTGTTTATTTTCTAAATATTATTTTGTGATTTTATAAACTAGGATTTTCTTTTCTCCTTTTGATGACACATAAAGCCATTGGCTCCCACAGACCACCTCCCCTTCCTACCAACCTTCATGCAGTCAACTGACACATTCCATAGATGTAGAGTCTGTATAGGTCAACTTTGTGCAGTAGTGAACTACTGAAAACAAAAGCTGAACAAATTATATTTTCATCTGAGTATATAAATCTGCTATTGAAAATTATTTTACAGTGTAAATTTACAACCAATTCAATAGGCAAGATAATAAAATACATTCAGACAGCCTGAAATCTGACAAATTTTGAAAACCTGTGGAATTGTACCTCAGGCTTTCTTAAGTAAACTTATCAGTGAACAAGGTGATTATTCTAACCCAGCCACAATTTGTGAAGATAGGAAAACACACTGAAGGCAGTGGGAGAGGACTAGTGAGCAAGAGGGTGGGCTATAGCACAAGTCCTGGGTTTTAAATCCCAAATACAATCATTAACCAGCCTTGTGAGAGGGACAGAAAATTTAGCCTCTCTGTGCCTCCATTGCCCCACTGGGAATAATAGCATCTTCTTTATACAGTTGTTTCAGTTTTCTCCTTTTTCTTTTGAATGTGAGAAAATACATATAACATAAAATTTACCATCTTAATGAGTTTTAAGTGTACGTTCAGCAGTGTTAAGTATATTCACACTACAGTGCAATCAATCTACAGAACTGTTTCATCTTGTACAACTGAAACTCTATACCCATTAAAGAACAACTTATCCTCCCTCTGATCCCTGGTAACCACCATTGTACTTCTGTTTCTATAAATTTGATTCCTCAAAATACCTCATAAATGTGTAATCAGAATGTATTTGTCCTTTTGTAACTGGCTTATTTCATGTAACATAATGTTCTTAAGGTACATTCATGTTGTAGCTTGCGTAAGATTGTTTTTTCCTTTTTAGGACTAAATATTTTACAGATACGATAATTCTTAAAAGTAATCAAAATAAAGTGGATACTTGGGTAGCTTCTACCTTTTGGTTATTGTGAATAATGCTGCTATGAACAGGAGCATGCAAATTTTTTTTTATGAGATCTTGCTTGCTTTCATTTCCTTTGGATGTGTGCCAAGAAGTAGGATTACTGGTAATTATGTTTTTAACTTTTTATTATTGTTATTATTATTATTATACTTTAAGTTCTAGGGTACATGTGAACAACGTGCAGGTTTGTTACATATGTATACATGTGCCATGTTGGTGTGCTGCACCCATTAACTCGTCATTTACATTAGGTATATCTCCTAATGCTATCCCATTCCCCTCCCCACCCCTCCCCACAATAGGATCCCGTGTGTGATGTTCCCCTTCCTGTGTCCAAGTGATCTAATTGTTCAATTCCCACCTATGAGTGAGAACATGCAGTATTTGGCCATCAGTGACAGACCGGATTAAGAAAATGTGGCACATATACACCATGGAATACTATGCAGCCATAATAAAGGATGAGTTCGTGTCCTTTGTAGGGACATGGATGCAGCTGGAAACCATCATTCTCAGCAAACTATTGCAAGAATGTTCTTAACTTTTTAAAGAAACCACCATACTGTTTTACTTGTCTATATCATTTTACATTCCCATCAACAATGCACGACAGTTCCCATTTGTCTACATACTTGTTTTGATTATTAAATGAGTTAATATAAATATTGCACTTAGAACATATCCTATCCATCACATTCTTTCAAAGAAATTTAGTCATTATAATTAAAAATTTGTTTAAAATATAGTGTTTATTGTTACGGAGATACAAATGAGCTGAAACCTTAGCATCTGTCCTGTGAGAAAGCCCTATATCTGATTATTCTAGCAGCAGCATATGAGATACAATCTACAAAGCTTAAAGGAAACAGTAGAATTTTTAAAAAGTATATTTAATTTTCATGGGTCTATACTACATTATATGCTTATGTCTATAGAGTATCTATGAAGTTTTAATACCTGCATACAATATGTAATAATCTTTTGCAACCCAAAAGAGAGAATCAAGTTTAGAATGAATTTAAGGATAAGCAAATTCTAGCAAAAAATATGTTTAAATTACTTAATTCTTACTTGGTGTGAAATTTAAAATCATCTTGGAAGATGAGTTGTTATATCACAGAGTCTTAGGGAAGAAAATGGTGAGGCTTCATGCTGCAGATATGGACCATGCTGTCTGGGCAAAAAAGAAAGATGTGTCGTTATGCAAGGACACTAAAAATTAGGTCAACTGCATATCTCAAATACATACAGCAAAAATAAAGCCCTAATGAAGAAATTTCTCTTACAATAATTAGGCTTTTGTTATTTTTGTTTACTTATTTGATTTCATTTAAAATGTAAAAGTAGTATCTCTGTGTGTGTACATGTGCAGACATGTGTTAAAATCAAGCAACACTTTATAAAAAGGAATATAAATCCTGGTGGTTGTTGTTATTTTCTTTTTAATGAGAATAACATTGAACACTTGCTGTACTACACTGATGGTAACTTTATAAGGTCTCCTTATTTGTGTGGAATTGTAGGGTTTATTCATGAGAAAAATAATCTTCCATCAGAGACTCTTGGAAACAAATTAATTTCTCTTTAGAAAATATACATATTGAGCTTTCATTAAAAAATAAAATTTCACTAAACTGCTGCAATGCACACCTACATGGTTTTATTTATATAAGAAAATAAGCTGAGAACAAATTAAGATATTTGAAAGAAGAAAATTGACTGTGGAAACTATAAGAAGCTCAAAATTAGATTTACAGTGTCACTTAAACAATGTTACTATCAACAATGTTCCCACGCTGGAAAAATATTATAAATATATCTAAAAAAAACTAACAAACTGATTTATGTGCAACCTTTCAGCAACATCAGGAAACTACCCAAAAGGCCTCCACCTGGTAGCTATGCATAGTCTTTGGCAAAATTGTGAAAATTGTGAACATTTATGTTTAGGGCTTCTTATGACAAATAAACCAGTGAAAACAATATTGCATTTTTAATCCATATATTCATAAAAGCCACGGTTCTCAAGATATTGTGCTGACAAAGAAAGGAAGTGAAATCGATTGGGAGTTTAATCTGATGTTTATTATTCTTCAATTCATGCCAAATTTTTAAAATATACTTAGTGCAAAGGCATTTCCTTAACTGATTGAAACAGTTTAAAGACATTTTTCCCTTTATGTTTCTCATTTTAAAGCTGGTCTTTTAATTTTAGAGTAAATATAATAATACAGAAGGAAATATTACATAGATTTAAAGAAAAGATACAATGTTTCAAAAAATATTATTCTTGAACAGGTCATTTGAGCTATGCCCCTTAACTTTTCTTCTTTCCTTTCCTCGTGCCTACAGTCACATTTACTTTCATCTCTAATTAGAGAGAGTATCTTCAATATTAACTTTGAACAGGGCTGACATTAAGTCTGGAGTTGCAAAAACACATGCCTATGAATAGGGTGACCCATCAGTTATCATCCGAACCAAGATATTTTGGGGAATAAGGAAGAGGCTATGAGTAATTATGTGGTGACAAAAGATGTAAACTAGGCCTCAAAAAAACTGGGAGGATGGGTTGCCCATCCATTCATGGAACATTCATGAAACAGTTTGAGATTAAGAAAAGTAATAGCTCAAGCAAAACAATAAAACAATAAACTGATACATGGTCTCCGTTTTGGGAGAATAATATGGTAATAATACTGGAGAGGCTAAGTCCAGCATATTCTTTTTTTATTATTATTATTTTCTTTTTTTTCTTTTTTTTTTTTTTTTTGTTCTAGGGTACTTGTGCACAACATGCAGGTGGGTTCCTTTTTTTTTTTTTTTTTTTTTTTTTTTTGTCTCACTCTGTCCCCCAGGCTGAAGTGCGGTGGCGCCATCTCGGCTCACTGCAAGCTCTGTCTCCTGGGTTCAGGCCATTCTCCTGCCTCAGCCTCCCGAGTAGCTGGGACTACAGGCGCCCGCCACCACGCCTGGCTATTTTTTTTTAAATTATTTTTTAGTAGAGACAGGGTTTCACACCGTGTTAGCCAGGAAGGTCTTGATCTCCTGACCTCATGATTCGCCGG